CCATTCTCGCGGTACAGTCCATCCGTCCGTCCTCTCGGAGCTTTCCCTATTCGCGTTTTCTCCATCCTGTCCCTATTTTCTTTCCTTCTCTATCCGTTTTCGTGGCTCGCTCCCACATTTTCCTCTCTCTCCCTGCTCGATATCCGGACCGATGCTAAATAGCAGAAACATAATTCCGTGAGTGCGAAGAAATTGCTTTATCGCGCGGAATAATGGTCCGTATTCACATGTAGCCCTCATAAGTCTTTTCCCCGATACTTGCACTTTTCGGAGATTGCACATGGCCAGACCGCCGAACCGCCCACGCATCCTCTTTGCATCGTCCGTCGCATGAATGCGCTGTTTCAAGATAGGACTGTACTATGGCAATGCATTGGAAAGGAGGGTACGTTGAATGGTCACGAATCGAATGTGACAGCTCCGCCGTACGCGCTACATCGGCGTTCTGACAAATGCGGGAAAATCAATACTTTGCCCATAACGTATTGCTTTATCTGCACTTGCGAACTTTGCGAACTGCTTATATTCAAAATATTATAGTGACTTAAGATTTTTACCGAAAAATTAATATTTCTGATTATATAAATTGTTCACAATTGTATTGTATAAAAAATATGTATAATAATTTACAATGAAACATTCACAGCAGAAATTAGTACGTAATCATTTATACGAACTGTTATTCAATTAAAGGAAAGAATTCTAAAATGGAATTATTAATAATATTAAAAGACCGATATATCATGTTTTAAAAACGTTACAAATGATTTCAAAAAAGATAACATCGCAAACATAAGAAAGAGTTGCTATAATAGAATATGAAAGCTTAATTGTTTAAGTATTAATATTGTTTGTATAACATACAAAGTCGAAACAAACTTACACTTACAAACACATATAAATAATTTAAAACTAAATTGAAGTATTGTTATTTAATTTTTATTTAAAAGATTTGAACAGTCTTCTTAAATTAATATCAGTAACAAGTTGTTACTAACAACACATTGGCTTATATGCCGTATATATAAGTCATATGACATATTTTATCCGACTATTCCGCCGAAAGATACGTACCTGCAGACAATTTCTTTTGCGCTTGGGCCCGCGGCGAGAAAAATTGTTAAGAGAAATTTTCCTGACTTTAAGTGACATTGATGTACGAGCGTAACCAAGAGAACGCCTGCGAGAATGTCAGATTCCTTTACTCCCCGCGAAAAGCACAGAAACCAACACTCCAACCGGGTAGCGCGATTACGCAATTAAAAAGTATGAATTATTAAGCTGCGCGTAATTTCGATATCACCTCAAAATCAAAAGGTTCAGACACATACGAAGTACATACATACATCTCTGAATAAAAATGGACACGAAAAAATATGTGTGTGTGTGTGTGTGTATGAGAGAGAGAAGAGGGACAGGAGATGCCAGTATATAATTAAATGTTCGTAATTTTATAAGTTTGCTCTCGTAATGGTATATAATGTAAGAACAATGAAATATAAATTGTAACATTCTGTAACAGACTTCCTGGTTGAGTCAATCGAATCTGGTAATTATTCTTTCTTTAATTGTGCACTAATTATCTCGAAGTAGTACATTAAAAGCATTGTCAGAGCAGAATACATGGACAAAGGGATCAAATACGTCGAGGAAAAAGACGTTCTTGTTTAAGTTCAACTGGTAATGATTAGTCGCTAGTGAAATCTTAATGTAACTTACATTGAGGAATGCATTAATTGTGATGTGCAATTAGCATGATGGAATTATAAGAATCCGGATAATTGAACAATAATTATCTATGACGAATTATATAATGTAAAAATAATATATAATAACACTTAATATTATATAATAATAATAATATGATAATATATAATATATGCGATAATATATAATATATATAGAGTGTGTCTCTATATATATGATCATTAACGTGACTCTTATATTTTTGCAAGACAAGGTAGAATCAAATATGTTTAAAAGTTGATAGCCTGATAGAATATAACAAATAAATTAATGAATAAATTGAACAAATTGAATTTTTATAACTATATGAAGGTTACTTTTAAATGGAATTGTCTAAACATATTTTTTATTCGATCTTACGCTGCAAATAAAAAGTGTTCACATTAGATGGAACTTCCTGTATATTCTAGAAGAATAATAAATTAAATTAGTAGAATTTAATTTATTATTCTAATTTTTATTTAAAGAAAAACATCTACAATCATGTTGCTTTCATGTACGATGATTTGACAACGGTGGTTCCGTCGTCGAATACGAGTCGGGCTTACGTGAACGCGCGACTTTTTATTCGCAGAGGGATGAAAGTCGTGTCCTGCGGGGTGGCGAGTGTCGACAGTTCTCTCTGAAAAGAGCGTAGCGGGGATGTTGGCAAATACGTAGGACGCATTCAGATCAGCGTCGGCCAAGAACCGAGGGGATCCACCGAACGGGAACGACGACGGAAAAGTAGAAAAGGTTTTTCGGAGCGCGTCAGCAAGAGACATCAGAGGCAAGAGGCCGTGCCATTTCCTCCAGTCGAATACAAATCAAATACGTGCGAATGTATCGTGCGTTGTTGCTTTGTACTTCGTAAAGATCAATGCGAGAGAACGGAAACTTCGTTTCGACAAAGTGAGGTCTCTTCATCATTTTTACGTGTATAATTAACGAATTCATCTAGCTTTAAATGATTGTGTTTTCCTAATGCGATACATATGAATCACCTGATATATAATAATTTAATATACCTAATTATTCTAAATAATTAATAACGTTTTTATTTTGTTTTATATTTATGTCTTTTTCAACTTTGTAAGTCTCATATTATTATAATATTTTTATGTTAACACGCACAAGTCACGTTTTTTATTTAAATGAATTCAATTTCTCTATATTTGTATTAAAAATCGAAAACATGAGAAAAAATTGTATCATATTTTTTGTTATTTAATTTAATATTATTTTTATAAGCTATTTATTTTATAAGCCAATTAATGAAAAAAATTTTCTGACTATTCATTGCACACTGAAAGAAGTAACGTTTTCTTCCATTACCGTTTGCGTTTTGGATAATATTATAGTCTATCAAGTCTATAACTATCTACCTTTATGTTCTTGAAATACGAGGAATCAAACGTTATAAATGTAACGACCTCGGAAAATTCTCGGAGAGCGGCTGGGAAACCAGAATAAATATTGATACACGTCAAAGGGAACGTCGCGTGTAAATGACATTCCGGGAGAATCGCAAAATGCAGCACGGCGTAATACGCGAGACGGAAAATAGCGGCAATACTTTTGAGTGCCTCGGATGGTGGCCTGGGGGACCTAGGGACCGCGGGATAAGGATTTGCTTCGAAAAGGGAGAGAGACACTCGTGCGAAATGCTACATACGAGAATGCATATGCAGGAAACATAGTCGATTTTAGGTACGTGTACACCGGGTGCTCACTACAGGGCGCTCGATACATAATCGAGAAAATTGGATACACGATAAAATAAAAAGAAAAGAATTTTTCTCATTTTTTTTAACTACACAAATATAGGAAAATTTCATTCATTTAAATAACAAACGTAACTTGTACGTGTTAACGTAAGTATTTAATATGAGATTTACAAAGTTAAAAAAAAACATAAATATGAAACAATAAATAAAGGATTATTAATTTTTGTTATGCAAATGTAAAAATATTTTATCATTATTAGGTACAAAATAAAATTATGTTACACGTTAAATGAGTTATGTAAGTTAACTAATTAATATTATTAATGTTTTTAAATTTTATAACGATAATTAAAATAAAATAACTATATAATTTATATTGAAAAAAGAAACTCTTAAGTTTAAACGCATATCATTGTAATATAAGGCGCTTATACAATATTTAAACAAGGGGATTGATTTCTAAATTTATATAAAATTGTGCAGTCTATTAGTACCGCAAAGAAAAGAACTATTCCGAAACAAAAGCGATCATGATCGCTTATCGAACTTGAAATATCGTCAGGCCAAGGGTGCCAGGATCGCCTCGACACACTGCTGGTCTTCGAGGGTCCCACAGTCCATCCCCTTCTTAGATCAATAATACTATTCCTGTGACAGCGCATGCGTCCCCCAGCATCTCCCGTTACAACCCCCCATACGCGAGCTGGTTTCCACCCCCGTTGAGCCACGTTCAGGACGCCGTGTACCCCTCCATGCAACATTCATAGCGCCATCAATATTATACGCGCGAAATAATAACCTGTGCATTTATGATGGAGGGGGTGGCTCTATCCAAAAGTCGATATAAAAAAATGTACTAGGATCATGATAAATATGCGTGCAAACTGTTATGCAAATCGATCAATGATTAGTCAAGGGTCGTGAGAAAAGATAGATTGGTGCAATTTGTCTAGTAATCGATCGATGAGAAAAGTTAGCTGAGCAGTATGTGAAAAATATACTGCTCATTAATGAAAAATATATTCCATTGTATTAAGAAATTATTATATATATATTTCTGCTGAGCACATAATTTCTTTAAAGACATTTTATTATAAATTTATTGTTAATTATATATTAAATTATTCAAAATATATGGAGTAAATATTGACAGTTTGTAATGCATTTTATCACAATATGTGCATTAATAAATGGATTATCAAGTGGGTTATCAAATATTCAAACGTATGCATAGACTGGTATAAGATTTGTTTGCATGCATTTAAATATTTCGTCATTGATAAATGCAATATCTATTATGCATGATAAATGCTTCTTATTTTGTAGATAAATATAATAGTATGCGATAAACAGATAACCTTCATACACAGATAACTGGCTATACCATGAAATTACGAAACTATATCTAGTGAAACTCGTAAACCGAGTAAGCAGCAATACGAGAAATCTTAACTTGAAAATCCGGTTTTCTGACGATTCAGATGGTAGTTAACATTCATAATAGTCACAGATCGGACTATAAAGATCACACGTAGCGTGGCAACTGTTATAAAAGACGCGCATTAGTTAAAAAAAGTCACTTCGAACTAAAGTATGAAACGCGTTACTTCGTTTCAGAAAATGATTTATAATCTTTTCTCGTCGCGATAACGTCTCGCTTATCATCAGCGTTCATCATAGTGACGTAAAAGTGTCTTTACATTTTAAAATTTAATTGCAGAAAGAAATCTAAGCGATGTGACAGTGCAATCGCATTAACTCACATTCAAAGAGAAAATTGCGGTGCAAATCTACGTCCATTCGAAATTCTCGGGATGATAAGCGGAATTGCGTGCCTGTGATAAATCGTATAGTGAGTCACGGTAATGGAAATAAAGTATGAATTCTGATATCAGTTTTATCGTTGCTTGATCTCGACGCCTTCCAGTTGGAACTGTCAGTGTCTGAGCCGTTTAGGTTATATGCAAATATATAACCGATTTGCTATACGATCTCGTGGCGAATGTAATTAAAAATCTCATTGATATCGTATTCCAACTTTGTTCATCATGTCTAAACGACTGCCGAAATCTCTGTTAACTAAAGAAACCAAAGATTATCTCTTAAGGTAAGTTCACTCATGATGAATTTTGACTTAAAAATATTGTACATATACATATAAAGTATACATATAAAGTAAACTAAAATTAATATTTTCTCAATTAAAAGACTTGAGAAAAATATTCTGGTTATATTAACAAGAGGTATGAACAAAATGCATTCTAGTCATACCAGTCAGAGTTCTGATTATCGTAATTGATTTTCTCCTTATCTTGATTAAAATGTTTGATAAATTTATCTACAAGTGTCTGATTTGTAATTTTGTGATCGAATCTATATAGAATTCCAATTAATGCAACTAGATTCTTTTTCCAGTGTGTTATTCTCTTTTCGTAATTCTTCAGTTTCTAATATTGCGTAAACCATTGATGATAATATTTTGTTCCTTTCTTGAGATTATTATACTCCGTATTTTAGCACTTGTTTAAAAGCGCAATTTATGGAAAAATAAACTACTTTTTTAAGCACGCATTTCTGGGGCCCGATATTCAATTGGATGATACCTATAGCGGCTATATCTGACATGCGAAAGCATCCAAAAATCATTAGCGGCAAAATGACTTTAGGTGAGTTCGATATATAGCTCTACCTCGGTAGACCCTTCGAAGAATTCATTCACGTTTTTTAATAATCGCGACAGAGCGAGTTGATGCGCGACTAACAGAGGGAGGGAGGGGGACGAGGCTCGAGAGGGACCTATAAAATAATTGCTGCTCGAGCGCAGCAAATAGCCGTTTATTTCTTAATGGAGCAGCACGTTGCGAATGTCTGTGCATACCGGCCTAAAACCAATCTGCAAGTAAAATGTTACAGTAAAATTACGTTTAATATTTCAAAGCGGCGCGGTTGCTCCAAATAGTTTCTTCTGAATCTCGAAAATGTCTCAGAAAATTACTATATTCATGTAACGAAGAAGCCGCTGTAAAATTATTTCTCGATAATAATGAAATAATAATAAGATGATAGGCAATAAATTTATTATATTAATTTGTATTAATTACGCTGTAATCTGTTTTCTCCTATGTTTGATGTAATTCTCTTTCTGATTTGTTAGCCTTGACCCTGTATTCCATGATATTCATGCGGTTCGCTTTGAAAGTACAACCGCGAAATTTGTTGCTGTTCGCATGCCACCTCACAAACGCCGGGGCTCAAATGGGGCAAGGTTACAGATTTCTCAATTATCACTACGGCCAACAGAAAGAGCCCGAACGGAAAAAGTAAAATGGGAAACTAGTACCCAAGCGAATATTTTGTTACAACAACTACTTATTTGCAAATATATAATAAAAATGTGAAATAATGAATTAATTTTTTTATTACTATTATCGGTTTTTGCTGTAGAATAATTTTAATAAAATAATAATAGTATGATTTAGATAGTGGGATATCGCTTTCTATTCTGACAGAACATGATGAATTACACACAAATTTAATATGCGCATAGAATATCAAAGTAATTTATTAAAACCGTAAAAGAAAATTTCTTTCAGTTTCTTCATTTCCATTATCGTGTATATATAAAACATGTATGTGCAAATATAAAATATATACATATGTTCTTTCCATTATCGGAGCATGTTATCAACCAGTAACGCTCTGATACTCACGGCAAACTTTATTGCTCAACAGATTTATTGCAACCGTCTAAGATACAAACAATAGTAGCGCGGCGTTAGATTTAACCGTGGTAATTATTATAAAAGCGCGTGAGCGTATAATATATTATAATAATTGCTAATATATTGGAAAGCCGGAGCTCGAGGATCTGGCGTAATGTACCCTGGCGCAACACTGTTAACACTGTTGCATATATACCCGAATGATTCCGCTTATTAAGTTATTCCGTTACTATTCTTCTGATAATTGTGGTTAATGCGCAGTATTTATAATTCAACGATCGCGTGCTGCGAGACCAACTTGTGAATGCTCAAGATATGTAACATATTGCTCTTCGTACATTATCTTTCCTCGCAATGATACTGATAAGATTTCGCACTTTTTCAGATATGAAGCACTCGATATTTTAGGTATATATAGTTTTTTTTCTCATAGATATTTTTACAAATTTTAAATCAAGTTAATCTTAACAAAGATTTGATTAAATATTATTTTTCCCGTTAAATATCATTTTTCTCATTTTTTTTTAGATTTTACACGTAATTTATTTTTTTTAACGGAATTTTCACAAAACAAATTCTGTCTTCTTTTCTTTTATTCCTATTTCAGTCTTGACTCGTTTTTCCGTTTTACGTGTCATTCCCTTCTTCGTTTATCGTTATTTTCCCGTATCTAAAGGGCACAAGTTTATTCGACTCGGCCCCAATTCAGCAGTACGAACGAATGTATAAGGAGAGCAATAATTTTCTGAGGTAGCCTCTCTCGCGCGCGATACTACAGGGGCGCGGGCACGGCATGGCATGGCATGGCGGGCACTCGATCGTGCTAGGGTCATTTTATGGGATCTGGCACGGATCAGACGCACGAATCTATCCTCGGTATTTTCCGAATGCTAAGCCGCACCATTCTCCTCTCCCGACAGCGTTTTTCCCTTCGCCTCTTCGTTCTCTTTCCGTCCTCCAGTCCTGACTAGAGATATAAAATCCACCCCCGACTAGCTGAATAAATATATATGGCCTTATTAGTCCCCTGTGCTTGGCGTCGATCATGTGGCACGCCTTGCCGGCGCTCCTTTGCCTCTCGCCGATGAAAATGTTGTTTCAAATGACGTTACTCAACAATGTTTCTACAATACTCTTGAAAAGTTATTTGAAAGTGAGCTTTCGAGAAATAAATTTTTTATTAATTTTTATTTTCAGATAAAGCCATGTTAAATATTTATTGTAAGCACGTCGCACGTCGTACAGAACTGACGATAGTTGTAAAGCATCTAAATTTGTCCGTATTATCCGTATCATCCGTTTCCAGTAGTCACGAATGAGAATAATCGTTTTCTACACTCCGTCGTCGATAAGACAAATCCGGCGCTTTCCATTCACGTCCTTCGGTCCTGCGGGTTTTGTCGTGCCAGCGCGGAGACAATCGGAGAATCGTACGTGGACGAGACGTGGAGGAGACGTGGAGGAGACGAGGAGCGACAGGGAGAGTCCTTCGGGACTGATTTCACAAACAAATGCCGCCGATTGAATCCTGGCATGTTGCAAGATGGATCGCTCTCTTTGAATCACAGATTACCGGCCGCCTCTACCTTCCATCTCGCCTCGCGTCGTATCGTTCCTTCGTACCACCGCGATGTACATCGTCCTTTCCTCCTTCGCCCTTCCAGCTGGTCCACTTCGTCCTTTACGGAGACGTTTCCACCTCCGTGACGGAGGTTTCCTTCTAGTGCCGGGTATCTCGACAATTTGCCACATGCCTATGCTGTGACTCTCTCTCTCTCTTTCTCTTTCTCACCCTGTCGTGGTAGCATCTCAAATCTTATATCAATGGTAATCAAGTTGATTGAAACCATAAAATGTTGCGAGATTGATGGATTAATAAAATCTCTACATCTATATTAATTGAGTATCAAATAAAAATTACGTTTAAAGAAATTGCATCATTTGACTTTTAACTTAACTTTTGACTTATTCGATTAATTTTATTACTATGACAGTCGTTCTACTTTATTGCGTGGATGAATATTCTTTTATTGTATTTTTGTGATTATGCTCCTGATTAGGTCAGTGTTACATTGATTGTCTACGTCAAAGCTGTCAAAATAATCAGCAATCAATTTTGATAGTATAGATGAAAATTAATAAATAACGATTGAAAATAGCATTGGTATCAGTGAATACAAACATATTAGAAAGAAGAATTAAGCGTCACTAATACAATTAAAATCGTGTGAAGGACGGCGTGGTGCCTCAAACATGCCAGGCACAATCAAAGAACGTTTCCAGCGACGAGTTCAAAATAATTTGATGAAGAGGAAAAAAGCACCGCCGCAAGCGAAATGAACTGTAAAGCGGAATGCTCGGATTGTAAAGCCTCCCCCGCAGAGTTGCATGAACTGCGGAAAAAAAGAAGAGAGAGAGAGAGAGAGAGAGAGAGAGAGAGAGAGAGAGAGAGAGAGAAATGAGGGGAACGACCCTCGCTCCTGAGACTTTTCGACGCTAGGACGATCTTTAAATTAAGTGCGTCAGCTTATGACGCCCGTGTAAAGTTTTGCAGGGTGGATTTTTGATTCGCGTGCACGAGTTGAGCGGGAAAGTTCCTGAAATGCGTAGCAAATTGTGCGCCGCCGCGTCGGTGCGGACCCCGAGGGTGAAATGAATCAAGCACACCCTCGCCATGCAGGACATACATTAGGCTGACACCGGACTTACCATTCGGAATGCTGACGATTTCTTATGTCAGAGATGAAAAGGAATAAGAGTGTTTCCCTAGAAAATCGAGAAAATATTTCGTGAAAACGAACAGAGTCTTGGCACTAGCGTCATAATCATTTTAAGTATATCTGTGATATTTTTTATTATGTATATAATCGCTGCCAAAAGTTTCCAGTCAATGACTAATTTTATTGTATTATTCCGATTACTCGGCTAAATAATCTTTGCATATAAAGATCTAGTACAAGTATAATATATGCTATTTAATATACTTTAATAATTAATTAATATATTAACTACATATGTAATATATAATTTTTTTAATATCATGTTCTTGAGTTGATTATAATAAAAATTTATTAACTTATAATATAAACTGACTTGTAATATAATTGATTTATAATATAAAAAACAGATCGATACACAAAAATTATCATAAAATTATATGTTTTGGCAGCCATTGTATATGTATAATATATGAATATATACGTCGCAAATATATGTCATATTTAGGAAAAGAAATACCCTTTCCATAAAATAACTTCAGTTTTCTTTGAACTTAATAAATAATAAATATTTTTATAACAAAATTTGCTATTATATTTTGACTGAAACTGAATTAGAAGCATCTATGTTTTTTCTAAAAATACTCTAAGCAGAATATTATCCTGTAGAAATTATCTTCTACAGAATATTATTAGTAGTTATCACAAATATTAGTAAAATATAAATGTTAGCCGTTGTCAAAACAACAAAACATAGGTATTTTGAGATCTACCGAATATGGTTGTAAAAAGATTCGATCGAAAAACATCCCGTGGAATTTAATGCACCAACTGCAAGATACATCTGATAGATTCATAAAAATGTACTTTAGCCACCCCTGTAAAATAACATGAGACAGGGCGCGTGATCGTAAGTATAAGTACACCGTTAGAACGTAAAACGCGCTGTGTTAAAAAAATCATGAGTGTACTATCTTGCGCATCATTCCCCCGAAATTACATAAATATATAAATTCGATAATCCTGTTTTCCGAGGGGCGCCATAATTCGTCAAGGGATGCAAGTAATTTCAGGAGGGATGCAAAAAGAGACTAAGCATCGTCTTTGAAATTAACGTAACGTAATCTCGGTAATTCGGTGGAAAATGCAAGTGATTTCGAGAAGTAGAAACGAATGCTTGCCCATTTCCCTCGGATGAGTTTACGACGAATAAGAAACGAAGATTCACGAGAAATGACGAACGTACGAGTGCGAAAGGTAATGGGGTTGGACTGGTCGGCGCACTACGACGGGATGTTTTCGTTCCAAGGGGTGGGTCAACGTAGATGGCAACATAATCCCCGATCGAGAAACCTGGCACATGGGAACATGGGGGACATCTTATCTTCATATTACACACCCGTCGTGGTTCTCAACCTAAATTGTCAGCAATGTATTTTCACAGGTCATCCTTAAACTGATAGATACAAATTCTTGATTAATAATAGTAATGTATAGATATTTTACATATAATAATTCAATAATTTAAAAATATTTAAAAATAATTGAATAAAAATTATAAAAATTAGATACTTCCTATTATTCTATGTCCATTAATGACAAAATGAGTTTATTGCTGAGTTTATTGAGACCAATTTTATAAATGAAATTCGACCTTTTTTCCACCGAAATTTCACAAAAATATTAATTTTACGTTCTCATTTCAAATATTGCGCCACGCATATCTTGCAGTTTCTCTGCTAATGTCAAATACATTCTATCACGCAAAATCGATATCTCATAAGATTAATAAATGTCACATCGACTCTGCGATTGAATCGATCGATGCTGTATAACGCGCACTTGGATTACGTTACTTTAAAAGTTCGCAGAAGGCAGTAAACAACTTCTGCTTCGTACTGCGCGAGAATCACACGTGCTACCGTACGGATACGGAAGTAGATGGACGCGCGTGCACGTACACTCGCA